GTTATCTTGAATTTTTCGTTTCACGTTTTCGATCGTGTCGTTAGGCTCTACTTCCAGAGTGATGGTTTTGCCGGTAAGCGTTTTTACAAATACTTGCATTTTTTAGTATCTCAAAAAAGGAAGATGGAAAGCAATTTCTACGATTACTTGCTAGAGTCGAGACCTCCAAACTCATATTCCAGCTATGAAGACGCTCAAAAAGCAGCTTCAAATTCTGCATTTACTATTGAATCTCTTGACTTTTCAGATCCATATGGAAACCAAAGTGCTTTCTTTTTGTGTCGCACAAGGCCTGGTTTGTGCTACCAAGCTTTACTCCAGAAATGTTCCAATTACACGAAAAAGCAATTGGAAAAGTGGCCGCAAGTATGGAAATGGTGTGGATGTCACCTCCCTATTGAAGAGTACATACAGGATGCATTGGAATACGGTCTGACTCCGTCGTGTTCTTCGATATGTCGTCCATCCGAAACTATTCCTAGGGTGGATGGCACAGGAATCGCTTTCGATATTTGCAATGATAGCTTTTGTAGCGTAGCCAATTTTTCTATCTACGCTAGTGATTCCTTCATTGGAGGATTAGGCCTTTATAATTTATGTGGTTCGTGTAAGGAATGTTCTTGTGTTGTAGAAAATTCGGACATCATAAGCAACTCGATTATATCAGGAACAATTAAGAATCAGTGTTCCGAGAGTTCCACTTACTGCATCGATCCAACAAGTGGGAAGACTACGACATGCTATTCTTCTAGCATTTTGGAGAGTGCTTTTGATCAAAAATCGCTGGTTGAGTTGGCCTTTGCTTACGGAGGATTGTGGACTATTTTCATATTGTTTTTCAACCTTATCGTGTTAGTTCGTTGGTATTTTTCCAGAAAAAAATGAAAAAAGAAGCAAAATTCTTACTAGCTAAGCTTTCTCAAACAAGGGACATAATTTCAAAAAGAAGAAAACTTAAAACAAGAGTCCAAGCTCTCATAGATGCCGATTCTGTCAATGCTTTTCTGAAGGAAGTCGTCGAAAACATTGACCTGGAAATAGACCAACTGGATAAGGAAGCTAAAGGAATAATGAAAGAAATGAAATGGCTAGCAAAAACCATGAGAGAGGATTGTTCAAGTTTAGAAAAAGAAATAAGTAGGATTCAGGTTTTCATTTCAACGGATGAATCTTCGAAGCGCTTCTCAACTCAAGAGGAAATTCGCAATGCTCTGGAGACCAATATTAGAAAACGGGTGGATGAAATAAATGAAATGAGAATCAGAAAAGTCGAATTGGAACAACTAGCGAAACAATTGGAGCACGTAATATTCTCACACTAGTGAGGCGAAAAAAACCACCACGCAACGACGATGAACAGAAGAGTGACCGCCAGAGTCACGGTGCAGCAAACGAACATGGGCACATACAACGACGTTTCTTCTTCGTTGGACACTTGATAATCGCAGCTCGTCTTGGTTTTAGTTCCAGTGGAGAGGTCAAAAGTGTAGCAGGTTGTTGAAGATCCGCTACACACTTGCTGCACGACATAGGAAAAAGCTTCCGAAGGAAATCCTTGAGAAGGCAGAAGAATTTCGCAAGTGCAAGGATTGTCGAACGTGCATCCAGAACACAAGTTCTCCACTACTACGTTCTCTCCCAAAATGGATTGCCTTATGTGGATGCTAGCTAAATTGGCCACGCAGAGTTTCTCTTCGCAAGGTGTGGTTGAGGGGACTGAATAGTATCCGGAACAAGTTGAACTGCAAGGGCCGCCGGCGTCTGAAAAGCAACCACATAAAGACGAGAGAAATGACGAAAAAGCTAAATCACTACTTTTGTATTTGCCACAGACGTCGGTGATTGCAGGAGTGCACACGTCAGTCACTTCTCGGCATATAGTGAGCAGTTGAAGTTGAAATGCTGTGTAAGAGAAATCGGAAAGACTGACCGAATCCACGTACCCTTTAATTACCTCGGAAATGACGGAGGAGGCCATTTGGAAATTTGCATTTGTTAAATTGGTCCCTCTGTACACGTAATATCGTAGGGTATCGAGACAGTTTCCATTTGCTATCGAATCTATATTTCCACAGTTATTTTGTATTGCTTGGTCTGCCATGAAATTTGAAAAGCAGGTTTTAAAGGAAGGGGACCCTTGCCGTTTCTATGCAGGGAGGGTAGTAAGAAGGCAGTTTTATCATCCTAATAGGAAAAATATTGTCTGCTGGTATATTCTGCAAATTTCTGTAGACTCCCAGGGGAAGCTTTGGTTTATCACCTCTTGTCTTGACCACCCCTTCCATCGGAGGGACTTTTTTCCATCCTCTGCACCTAGGAAAATAATGTTAGCCGCTGGCTGTCATACTAAGAGTTACAATGGTTGGCAGTTTTTTGCCTTTACTAAAGAGCAAAGGGAAGAAATTTTGAAAAAGTGGAAGCCAGTTCCGCGGGTGTCTGTGGTAGATGATGAAGAAAAGGATAGCAGGAAAAGAGATGCGAGTGATGTTATGATGAGTGAGTGGGATTTAGTTTTCTTTTTTTTGGTTTGTTTTTTGAATGTTTGTGTTTGTGAACAGGTATGGAGAGGTTTCTGAATTAGGGAAAATAAAAAAATGGCTTCTTATGTTTTAAATGGC